GGATCTGTGAGTTAGCCATGCCCTGACTTAGATCAGCCTAGAGGTTGTCTTAGGGTTGGATCTGTGAGTTAGCCATGCCCTGACTTAGATCAGCCCAGAGGTTGTCTTAGGGTTGGATCTGTGAGTTAGCCATGTCCTGACTTAGACCAGCCCTGAGGTTGTTTCAGGGTTCTTCAAAATTGATGTTCCTCTAAGTCGTTTCTGTTTGTTCTATTGCTTTAGGTCCCAGGCTACGCTATGTCTCCTCATTCCCAGCAACATCTTGGTTCTTCGGGGCGTTTCCAAAGCCGACAGCTGTACAGTCAGATGGCGGGCTCACCGGTCGATACACCTGGCTCGCCTGTATTTAGAAACTATCCAGGTAATAAAAACAATGACTGAAAAAAAGCGATTAATCTTTATGGAAGCTGTCAAAGTAGAAACTGTTAAAAAAAACCTTTGCGCATGCGTGCATTTCAGCACGTTTTTCAAGAATTCAGGAAAGCTTAAGTGAGAAAATAAATGTTCGTAAAGAAATCATAGCTGACCTTTGAAAAGTAGTACATCTTTCTCCCTGTGTACTTAGATTTTGGATTAAGCCAGTTTTAAAGTGTTTTTCTTTCCTCCATTGTCTTGGGCTACCTGTGCTCAAAGTAGAAAATCCCTGATGTTTTGTCCATAACATGGCTGTCTTGAAAGCTCTGAATGTCAGAGTAATCGAATTCTCGTTCGTGTGTGTTTGTTATAGGAAGAGATCAGTACTCAAGACAAGGATCCCTTTCCATGAATCTTTCTCGCGATTCACCAGGCCCCATGGTGAGTACAGCTAATTTACGTCATACGTGAAAACGATTACATCCTTCCAGTCAAATCTTATTGATACCCTGAAGATTGAACGGTCCCTTTCACAGTTCCCCGCGCCATCTTTAAAGGTAGCCGTACCTTTGCATCGAAGCGAGACGAACGGTGAGCTTTGTTTTGCGGAAGGAGGAAWGTCGAAGAAGCCAGAGAAAAACCCTCGAATCAAGGGAGAGACTCTAATAAAGAATGGAAGAAAGAAAAATAAAGATAGGAAAATGAAAATGGTGCATTTTTGAAATATTTCATATCATGTTTTCCAGAGGATATCACATCTCAAACAGAAGCCGACTTTTAGTTTCAACGCAGGCGAACCGAGAGGTGACCGCAGAAGTCRGGCAATGAAAAGAGTGAGTAGAGATTATAGAGTCTTTTGATRTTAGTTTAATACTTTCACAGTTAAGTCGTGAAAGTTGCTGAATACTKGCTTTGGTTTCTTGTGTAATACAGGTCTTGGTCATGTATCCATACGAGGCAAACAGAGCAGACGARCTGACAATACAGCCTGGAGATGTCATCGCGGTGTTATACCAGGACAATGAGAACTGGTGGATGGGTGAACTAGCTGATGGAAGACAGGGGTACTTCCCTTCAAACTACGTCATGCAACAAGGTAACATTCCCAGTAGTACTTTTCGCGCAACATTGTCATGCAACATTGTCACGCAACGTTGTCACTTTGAGTGCTCGATTTGCGAATTTCGTACGATTGKGAAAACGATACTTAGCCTTACCGTATCTTATCTGTATGTAACTGTATGTTCTAATAGCCAATGTGCACGAGCACAAAGCATGATGGGAAACCGAGAACTTACCGTTTAGCTCCTCTAAAAATCTCTCTGAAAATTTTTCCTTCGACATTTCCTTTGAATCTGTAAGTTTTTTAACAGACGAAAATAACAGCAATTTTTTTCTGATAATTTTATTGATTTCCTTGTTCTGATTTGCGTAGTACTCGGTTTCCCAGAGTGCCTTGTCCTAGAGATTCGTGCTCGTGCAGATTGGCTGAATCATCTACTCATCTATAGAGCTTATGATGGAAAAGCACGCGCGACTCTCAAATGGCTTCCTTCCTCTCTAAACCAATCAGAAAGCGTGCGGCACGTCATTTAATCGTGCYCGAACAGTGGAACCATTTTGAAAGCCACGGTAGTGTTATTTCATACTCACACTAATTCTGATTTCAGACGAAATGGAGTCTGATAATGATATACAAGAGGCAGTTAAAAGAAGTTCTTCCAAGCATCGAAAAACAAAGGACACAAAGGTAAATCTGTTTAAGCACAATTAGTATTAAAAAACACGCACGTGCCGTGCCGTGACGATGCCGTGTCCGAAGCATTTCGATTGCATAATCAATGATATCGAGCCCTGTGATAGGTTTAACGGATGACGTCAATTTCGTACCGTAACCGTGCCATGTTTGATTTCACAGTCATACCAAACGTACTATAATTCTGACACACATTCACTTTTKTCCTGCCATATTTCCAGATAAAATTCTTTAGTTATAGTTGTCTTCTCATTCATGTTTCTAGATGACTGCTGTTACGAGTAAAACTGGTGAATTGAAGATCATTTCTGGACCAGAGGACAGCAGTGATGCTGAACTATCGGCTTCTCAAAGGCAAGGAAACAAGGCTCCCTGGGTGTTGTAAACAATGTTATTTGTTTTAAAATGTTACTCAAGGGAATTACTTGTAGTCTGAAATGGGAAAATATTACGGACAAGCCGAAAAGATCTACATATGGCGCCTTGCCAATGTGAAAACGTTTTCAACAGCAGCTTTACCGACGCAAAAAAATCTTCTCAATTTTTTATATATTTTCTTTATTTAACTGAAAAAATTCTATTTTTCTCCAGCATTGCCAGGCAAAGAAGAAGACACCGTCAGAGTGCAACCCCAGAGAAAAAGGCACCCAAAAAGAAACAATCACCGAATTGAAAAAATGTATTTAAAGCAGAACATGGATAATCGTTCAACCACTTTCAAACCAACCATATGTTTATTGTTTTAGAAGTAAACTTAATTTTATCTAACCGAAAAATATTCGCCACATCGCCACATTTTATCATTTTAAAAAACAATATGAAGAATTTTAATCATGACTGAATAATGCTAACAGTATATTTCTGAAAAGTGTTTGTTACTTTGTACCAAAATATCAGTTTTAAAATGAAACTTTCTTTGAGGTTTATTTATAAGTCTTCAAAGAATTTATTGTAAAAAAAAAGACATTTGTAAAACGATCGCTTTTGAGATAAAAAATAAGTAATAAACGGCTATAATTGTTAATCAGATGTTGAACGTTTTCTAATTGTAGTTTCCCAATTGAATAATTAAATATCCCTATAGCTAGAAACCATGTTGGTTTATAAGAATATTTAAAAACCAGACATATCAGATYCCCCTTTAATGAAACAGAAGATGTAAAAACCCGAAAAATCTGGATCCTCATATACAAACCATTTTTATCCCGTGGAGGTGATCAATAAAACCATACCAGAAAGTGCTCTATATGTGTGCTTCGTGGGCTTCCTGTGTCTAAGATAGAATGTTGATTGACAGGTGGTTGATTGACAACCTGTCATGCACGCTGGTATGCTAACCTYGCAAATGATAAATTATCGCGATGCTTCGCTGCAGTCGAGTACGAAGACAGAAGGCTCCGCTTTCTGACTTGAAATCTTCTGCTTTCCTTTGAATTGGTATATTGTATCTCTTTCAGGTTAGTCACTCTCTAMAGTTCACTGAAGTATCTTTATGTTAAATTTGCTCACTACTCATGGGCTCAACTTCAAGTCTCCTTAAAGATTACCTTGGCTTCTAAAGGGATTTTTTAAACGTTTAGAGGCCAAACATTTTATCTGAAACCCTGTTTACATTCTTGATTAGATTAGGCACAGAGGGCTTTGTGAGAAAGAAGTGGTTAAAGCCTAGAACTTTGTCTTCCTGCAATTGTTTTGTTGTCACGATATATGTACGTACGTAGCGTGACGCTACTAAAAACTTTTTCCGTTCCTTACTATCAAAACTCATGCCTGCTTAGAGTAAAGGATATAAATGTAGATCAGGAGTAAGTAATCGAAAAGCTTTGGAATAACATAACTCCTGCTTAATCAGCACGCCATGGGACGTAAACAAACACCTTCCGGTACACGATACTGATGTAAATACCGTTTTAACGTACGGATTTACGATAAATCTGTCGTCTATTTATCCCATCTTTTTCCACCTAAAGCAAAACAATTTAGCTATTTTATTGAATTAGTAATATTAGGGAATCAGTCACTCAATGCTTGCCACGTACTCGGCTCGTGTTACAATGCGAAAAAACATATATGCTAAGTAAATGAATTTCACGATTTTATTGAATAAATCATTCATGGTCCTTTTCCAAATACGCACCAATTACTTCAAAAAAAAAAAAAAAAAAAAAAAAAAAAAAACCTCTTTTCATACGTAGCATCATCAGCAAAAAAATATAAAGTTTGCCTTTCTTGGTTTTCAAACTAGAAGGTAATGATTACTAGTTGAAAGCAAGAAATAGTATTTAGAATTATCATAGGGGAACAAGGGCCTCCCTTCCAACGTGTTTACAAAGCAAGGATACAKTAACATTACTCACTTAAACACTTTTTGACTTTTTTATAGGGTTGGCCAAGACATGACGTTAAAAAGAATAATCCTGCAACTAAAAACCCGATCAGTTTATACAGGCTGTTCCCTACGACTTAAGATATTGATGGTTACCATGGTAATRATAGTTGCCACCATCATGTTCTTGCATTTCTATCTGTTGCCCATTGCATCAGGGGCTTATAACGATGAGTGCTATTTAAGTAAAGAAAGAYACAAGAATCTGTTATATGCCATCCAAGCCATTGGACAAACCATGGACAAACACAATATCACCTACTGGCTAGATTATGGTAAGCAGATGGGCTGCGCCCTGGGCTGATCAAAGTCAGAGTATTAGAGGGCTGATCTAAATCAGGGCACAGCTCTTCACATGTTGAGCACAGTTAACTCACAGACCAATGCACTCAAGAAACAAGTCTTACAGTCAAATTTATTGGATCGTTTTAATATAATATTCAACTGAACTATATATTTATAGGAACTTTACTGGGAGCCCTTAAGTCTGGAGACATTCTTCCATGGGATGGGGATGCTGATATATCATATCTGGTTGACGATGAAAATTATAGCTTGCATGAAGAATTGGATAGGCAATACGATATTCAGTCCAATGAGTTAATAGCAAGGTACAAAACAGAATCGATTGATTACGTACGATGGACAAAAAAACAGGGATTTTACGACGGAAAGGAGCAAACTATATTACACAAATTCTATCCGAGTTCTTTACTTCAAAATGAGAATATTATTTTAAAATACCATCATAAACTGGAGAGTTTTCCTATGGCCTGGGCTTTGCCAACTAGACTTGTGGATTTTAATGGAATCAAACTTCACATACCTAATGCACCACACAAGCTACTCCGGCATAGGTATCCATGGACTTACAGTGTTGGATTATCAGTACCATACAAATGGAAGTGTTGGGTTCCCTGTTGGATTAAGACAGCCAATGGTTGCTAGATATCCATGGACCTGATATTCTATTGGGTTATCAGTACCATACAAATGGAAGTGTTGGGTTCCCTGTTGGATTAGGGCAGCCAATGGTTGCTAGATATCCATGGACCTGATATTCTATTGGATTATCAGTACCATRCAAAAGGACCTGATATTCTACTGGGTTATCAGTATCATACAAGTGGAAGTGTTAGGTTCCTATGTTCAATGGCTGCTATTGTTATCCAAGATTTTTTGGACATGAACCAATTTTGCTAATAAAATGCAAATACAACATGYAAATAACACCTTGGTAAAACTATTGAAGAAATATTTCTAGACTACCTGTCTTTCTTCTTTCTGTAGAGATTTTCTCCTTTTTTGCTTAGTACTCACAAATATTGGTGTGTTTTACCGTGCCATTTAGAGTGCATGCACACACACACACACAAATTTAATGAAAAAGTGCTAAATCGATGTTTAAAAAAATTGATGTCATCACGTGTAACAGCCAATCACAGTGCRAACTGTAGTTAGCTCTATTAAAATCTATACATGGCCTATCCAGGTCCTTGTATTCTCCCACCAAACACGTTGATGAGTTCTTGGTTCACAGAACACCTTAATCATGGGAATTGTAAGTGCTGTTGTTTGTTCATAAATTTATCTTTTTGTAATGCGCAGTTTTATTCCATCTGTACATCCCAAGATAGAACTAACACGTATGATGGGAGGGATCTTCGTTTCAGGTGCAACCACAAGAGTGAATCTCTTCAGGATGTGAACCAAAGCAAGCTTCATCTCCATCAGAGCGAATCTCATCCCAATACAATTACGTGGACCATGACCAAAGTGAAAGAATGTGTAGGGATCCYGTGATGCTTTGACCTCAGCACTGAAGCGTTCTGGGTCAAACCTGTCAGGTTCCGGAAAGAAGTGATGGTCACGATGAAGACTATATGGCAATGATATAATGACCTCTCCTTTCTTGATTGCGACACCCTTGATCACGCAGTCTCTGTTGCATTTTCGAGTGACTACAAAACCTAAGAGAGAAGAAAAGCACTCCTATAATTAGTGGGGGCACAGAAGTTTCTTTGAAATCAACAAGAACTCCATAAGTATAAACAACGGAGAGAAAATTATGTCATTGATCCAATTAAAAATGCCTGGTTATGACAGGCCAGGTCAGTACAGTGAGGTTTTGACAGTTATGCAAAACTACTCTGTAGCGTTAAAAATCACAACTAATGTCCATGTATTGCAGTTGAATTTTCATGGAATTTGGTCACGTGGATATGGCTAGTGGATACACATTAAGAATTTCACCATMTATTTTGCAGACATTCAGCCCCACCTAAGAGATATGTATAGTTATTAGTCTTTTTTCAGTTTCGAAAATATGAGTTTTCTTTACCAAACCCAAACCAACTGATGAAAACTCAGACATACCTGGTGGGAAGAGACGAAGTGTTTCGGAGATCACCATATCAAGGTAAGGTAACGACTGAAYGACTTCGTAAGATAGCAGCTGATCTTTGTCACTCCAGACTTCATCAATTTCCTTCTGTAACTTTTCCTGGACATCTGGGTTGGTTGCTAGGTGATGTGTAATTATGGAGAGTACATTGCTTGTCGTATCATAACCAGCAATCAGAAATGCAAAGCTCTGAGCAATGACTTCATTTTCTGATAAAAGTGTGTTGTTGGGTGAATCTTCATTTTTTGTGTTGTTGAGCATCATGTCAAGAAAGTCCTGCCAAAAAAAAGGGTGAGGAGGAGATCAAAAAAGAGAAGAGAAAAGCAATAAGAAAAAGAAAGGAGGAGAGAAAATCAAATGAAATAAAAAAGAACAGGGAAGAGAGAAATAAAGCGATCAACTAACCTYGTTTCCACCATCAAGACTTGCATTTTTCTTTGCTTCCACTATCTTCTTAGTCAGGTTCAGAAGACTTGAGAAATGACCCATAACAACCGAAGGGAAGTATTTCAAGATGAGAGAGCCACCGGGAATTATTAAAGCCACACTCAAGATGACCCTCTGGAACGTTCCAAGCTGAAGACAGTTGCGAGCTGCCTTAAACGCTGGGTCATCATAATCATTCTGCGCATTAGATTGCATGCCAAAAAATACTGCTAAAATTGATTCAATCGTAAGTGCTTGAAAATATCTGAAAAATAATGGGCAACGGAAGAAGAATCTATAAGGTAGCAAACACAGCCAGCGAGTTGATCAACACATAGACTAAGACTATAGCTGCTCAATCAGAGACTGGGCAAAGCATTTGGGTAGACAGGAAGAGGTTACCCTATAGAGCTTCCAGGGGCTGTACTTGGGTGGGTAACATGACAGGGGGGTCCRAYGGAGCTTCATATTGCAACCCAAAAAAAATACTCAAATCTRAAATTTTACACCCAAAAAAATACATGGCATCCAAATTTCTGACCAAAGGAAAAGTAAACAAGATTACATATTACAAATAACATTGTATTGTCTTCTTTTATTGTTATCAGGATGTTTCTTTACGGAACTCACTCATGCCTTGCTTARAAAAAAAATCAAACAATATAATTTTCTGATACAAAAATCAAACTCSGAGATGTGACGACCCAAAAAAATACAGGTTTCATTTCGAGACCTAATAAATATTATGTGGCTGGTCTCTTGACCCCAAAAAAATACCAGAAACGAAAATTGTCAACCCAAAAAAATACGTCTGACCTCCCCCTCATATTACCCACCCGAGTACACCCCCTGGGATAGAGCCTATGAAAAGGTGGGATCCTAATTTGCATTAATCAACCTTCAAGTTCGCACAACATGGTTTCACTGACTCTGCCTTTCGAAACATCAAAGTGAAGTGCCTGATACCTGTTGGAGGTTAGCAGTAAAGAGCACAATTCAAACAAAGTCAAAAATGTCAAAAAGAAATCAAAGTTACAGTACGGCGTCGAGCAGTCACACTCACTTGTAAATATCAATAGTCTCCCCAGTCCCTGCCACTTGATCCAACTTCTTCTCCAGTAGGTCACATGACTTGTTTATCAACGGAATCATCAGTTTCATTTTATGAGCGCTGAATGTTGGGGATACTGTGGTGCGGATGCGATGCCAAGTCTCTCCTGAAGCAAGGGCCAACATGCTATCAAATGGTTCAACCAGAGAGAAAAAAGCCTACAATTTGCACAAATAGTTTTAAAGAAAAGGAATAACAGCTAAATGTATGGATAGATTGAGTGTTAACATGTGTTAAGAGGAGAGGTATTGTTGGTAGGCTCATAGGGGAGATGGGAGTATTGATAAGTGGATATATATGGCTAGTGGGGATCAGACGTTGGTAAATGGAAAATAGGGTGAGGAGGATAGTCAGGGGTGGACCTGGAAGAGAGAATGATGTTATTTCATACCAATACAAATGGCTGTATTTCAGAATTATGAACTATTATGTTAACAATGTTTCTGTCATACTTACTCACCGGTCGATCATGGAAGTTTTGAAACTCTTTGACAAAAATGTCTTTCAGCATGGCGGGCTCATTTACGACGACAACAGACAATTTTCCAAAGAAAACCATCGAAAAATTACGGCCATATTTCCTGTAGTATTGATCAAACTGCAAATGAGACTGTCCTTTAAACTTGATTGAGTCAACCAGAAGACGAAAGAATGAGATTGAAGGTAGTGAACGAAAGGGAACAGAAGAGTAAGCTCGATAAACAAAGAAAAAGTAAAACAATACTAAAGTACAGGCTGCGAGAGGAATTATTAGCCAGTTTGATGACAGAATGACACGAAATGCGTCGATAAAACCCATCTTCAAACGTCTTGTTTTTGGYTTAATATGGCATCGTCGTAGAATACCACAGGCAACCCAATTTAAAAAGTCTGYAGCACAGGAAGACCAATTATTGTCTTCATGCCAATGCAAAGGATATGCAAAGCCAAAGGAGTTKAAAAGAATTTCGTAATAAAAAAACTATAAATATTTTCTGAAACAATACAACAGTAGTAAATGGTGCGTGGAAACAAGTCCTCAGTGATGACCTCGGCTAGCTCATCACTGTAACAGTGGGTCATCATTAGTTTCAAAACTTCTTTTTTTCTGGGATAGCTGGAGCTGGAGGAGCTTGAGCAGATCTGGGACCCTACTTTTTAGGAGAATGAATTGTTATTTTGTCTTAGTTTGAGTTCTGTATAAAAAAARGTTATAGCCACCTCCTCCCCACACACTTAAACATTTGCTCCACCATCACTGTATCTTTATCTGTGTATCAATATCTATCAGTGGCGAATCCAGGATTTTTCAAAGGGGGGTTCCGTTTCTTAAACTGTGTATAATTCTCTTTTGTTTAGTCGATGTCTG